GGAAGACGAAGAGCTGTGACCCCTGATTTCCGAATTTTGTACGATTGACGTTTTGCATTTGCAGCAGAATTCATCATCAGAGACATCTACAAATAAGGGTGCGGGGAACACAAGAGATGTAATGTTTATAAGATGAAGCTGCATACGTGCAGTAATTATCAGCGGTGAAAGTTTAATTTAGGGTCTCAAAGAGCCCGCGAAAACTCCATCCTTCTATAGTACGGAACAAGTGGTAATAAGGGTTACATGGATGGGGCATATCAGGAGAAATAAAAAGTAATTTAAAAAGTGGAGCGTATAAAAGTAGAAAATAATAGGAATAATTATTCAAATAACCAAATAACCGCATTTTTGCCTACGATAATTAAAGTGGTCCAATATTGCCCAATTGGACCTAATCGTCGACTCTATATAAACTCTACACTATCTCTGTTTAGGGAGCCATACTAGTTATCCTTACCTAGAATTATAGGAGTTACGAAGTCTTTTCAGTATGCTCCTCTTAAGGAGTTCGAAAATCTTGGCTTGGCGGCTCCAGATTTCCTATTCACTGTTCCTTATACCAAGGCCTGTGTGACTACTCCAGAAGCAGAAGATTCATGTTTTTTAGACGTGCTTATACGCTTGTCTACTGAAAGCAGATACTGTCGTTTGATTGAATTTGGACAGGTTGAATAAACTGTCAACCCTCACAATTTGCTCATCTTATCATTCCTATCAATGAGAAGTGCTCAGATGGTGGATATGACAAGCCGCGGTGTTATAGGCACAAGAAGGGATGGAGTGTCAAATATTGACGAGATACTTCTTAATTGAGTTGACGGTGTGCTGGATTCTTCTGCCATTGGAAGAGATTGATAACAGACTCATCACAAATGACTTCAGTGGAATAATCTGGAGAATAGAAGCAAATATGCGTGCCCCAGGTTCTTGTTGTAAAGAAGCGGAATACGCGATCTCTGGAACAATAGTTGTATTCTGAGCTTTCGGCTCCACACGAGA